GGAAAAAGCCGTGACAAACGTGACAAATACAATGACCTGTTGTTAATTACTGCCTGTGCTATTCAGTGCTTTTGCATTCTTTTTGTGGTTAGTTGCTGATTCTTGGCAACGTTCCAGAACTGCCCTTCTGACGAAGAATAAGTTTAATTAAACAAGCCGCAACCATTCCCGTCCCTTTGCCATTTATCTTATTCTTCTAAATTCCCTCAAACCTTTCATTCGTCCACGCCTGGAGAGAGTATTATTCATACTTTGAGAATCCTCCCATTAAGCGTACACGAATGATTTAAACGTATGAGACACCACTGCCAGTTCTGTCAGTCATGTTATACAGCACCTGTATGAGAGAATATTGGTCAGTGGCGTGTTTCTAGACATTGGTTCTATATTTCAAACGAAATAGATACCAAACGTTTTCAACAAATTAGCTAATTAAATGAGATGTAAGCATACTTCGCTAATTTGGTGACTATTTTACCAAAAACAATACAATTTGTAGCCCCCGAATCAGTCAGGTCTAGTCGACAAATAATTCTCCTCTTACTATCTAACGCGCTAATCACCCCCATGTGCTTTCTTAAATATTATGCATACGACAAGTCTGCAATATAGCTATAAACTAACATCTCTTCACTCCACGCATTTCAAAACAATTAGTCTAGCTAATGTTGCTGCGGCTTAACTCTGAAAAGTGTTAGATGTACCGTTTAAGTAAAAAAAACGAAAAAAACATCACTTCCTATATCTATACCAAAATTAACGATGATAAAATTGAGAGCATAAACTGTAAGAAACCTCCCTCTTGGGTTTGTTCTATCTCAAGATGTGCCTTGCCAAACTGAAAAGTTGACTGCTGATAAAATATGGAAATGCCTGAGGCAAGCGGGGAGGACTCCACAAGCTGCGTTGCACCGTTTCATGAAATTTTGCACCTTTCCGTATTTTACCCAAACATTTTACCTGGACTTCTCAAAATCGATCTTAGCGTTCTGCGCGGGGCCCTCAAGTTGATAGCGCGTAATGATTGCTTCGATTGTGAAGTTCTTGTCAAAGAATTTGTACAACGCATGGTTAAAGCTTGGCTACGCTTATGTACCGGTATATCCCTACATCCCAATACGAGATCAAAGAGGTAGAAAACATCTATTATCGGAAGGAGCTGAAACGCAGTTAAGTCACTTCGGTCTTTCTTCGTATCATGAATGACTTAATTTCTTCAAGTTGTTTGCTGACAGATGGTACAAACAGATACCTAATTTGTCTGTCAGTTAACGCGTACTCATGCGCTTTGCTTATCTCTTGTTGCTGCTCTTGTGTGCCAAATACAACATATGGGCACGTTTCGTATATTTAAGCAATAAAATACATTCATTCATTCTTGCACCTCTACTCACTATGTATTTTGATGTTTTGCAGGGTCTTCTTTCAATCCTCATCTTATAAAATTTAGAAATAAGGGGGTTTTCGAGTTGTTTCCATAATTTCTCTTCGTATTTCTTATCTCCTTCGAAACCTTCTGCCTATATTCTGTTCAGCCTTGTCGTACCAGCAGATTTCAGACATTGCTTTCGTTTGCTGGTGAAGCTGTTGAATTCTTCATCAAAAGTGTCCTTAAGGTTCAAAACTTTCTTGGATGGCACACCGTTTCGTCAAATACCCTTGGTCTCAATATTTGACTTATCATCTGTAGTGGTTTTCTTTGTAAGGCTCGCCAAACGTTCAGTTCATAAAATTCCTAAGCATTTCTGACTAGTTCGAATAATTGATTTTACCGGGTGATTTTGAACCCGGCCACAATGAGGCTAAACGTACTTTTGGAAGAAAACGGTTGTCGTCGCACTTACTTAAGATTTAACGCTAAAGCATCAACGGACGATTCCTGAAGAAGCACCTTTACGCAACCGAGACTACCGACTTGTACTGCGAGATGCAAAGCTTAAAGTCAGAAGTAAGATGAAGATGACGCAAAACTGATGATTGCAAAGTGTAGTACCGTTATGAAGGTAGCTGTCGACGGCGTTACAGTCAGCCCCTTTTTCTAATAAAATCGAACAAATCTGAGGACGGTCGTTTAACGCACTGATGTGAAGAACGCTCTGCTTGCGGCTGCTCACGCCATTGACGTCGGCACCAGCAAGTATCTACAGATAAACTGCATTTCTGTACATGATTAAAAACGAAAACAGAAACTATGGAAGTTGGTACATTTATTTAAACAAAGTAACAAAAAAAATGTTAGTCTTTTTTGGGAGAGAGGGGGGCAGTGACGCAACGGATTAGTAGGTTGCCTTGCGCTTTAGAATTCCGGGTTCAAACCCAGGGTGTAGATAAAATTTTCTCTTATTAATTGATAATTCCACTGAGCAAGGAATTCACCTTATTGCACTTCGGTGAAATCATCCTAAAAACTATGTACTTTGACGCACTCATGACAGTCACTTTCGCCAACATGGCAGCTGATTAAAAATCAGCACAGGTGCCAACGAAATTTTAATTTCCAAGAAAACAATAAGTATAACCGCAAATGAAACTGTAAACCTATTAAAACAGCACAAGATCCGGAAAATAAAACTGAAAAAAGTACCATGGAAACTCTGGCTTCTTCTCCTAGGCCCCCAGAGGCTCGGAACCAGCGAAATACACGACTGCTCATTTTTACCATCTTGACCTATGACGTTTCGGTGCAAACCGTGGCCGCTGTAAATAAGACCGGTGGTCGTTTTGTTAATCCCCAGTATTAACTGCAAGTCTGCATCTATATAATTGGAAGATACCCGCCTGCATCAGCAAGACTTCATTTAACCCATCATGTTACGCATCACGGAAAGCCTCTAGCGAACACATGCAATTTTCTTTCAAAGTGTAAATTATGAAAAATTATGATGTTGCTATAATCTTCATGTGCGGCGGACCTTTGGCTCACGAAACAATGGGGCTGTTACCAACTATCAGATGTGTGCTAGCTGTCGGCATTCCAGCGCCGCTTAGTGAAAACGATGCGGCCAAGAGAAACAGTGGCCTCTGCTATCGAAGCTGATTCACGCAAGGTCCACGATTAAGAAGAAACCGTTTAATCATAAAGAATCACTGGCACTTGAGAAAACCAGCATTATAAAAGTACTATATATGAATATATCGACCTCAAAGTGTGTATCTACGCGCCTACAACTTCTTCCAAAATAATCTGTTTTATTGTTTTACCAGAAAGTGTTTTTTTCATGATTCGATTATGGTGACTGCTCGATGTCGTTAAGTCAGCAGTCTATAGTCGCGAGTTTGAATCAATACACTTCGCACACGTGCATTATATACGGAAAATGAGAGCGAAAATGCTCGTGAGTAGCTCATAGAATTTAGAGATGACGTAGCAGTGGCGTAGTGGAATATCCGTCGGTTTTGCATCACAAATGTGCTAGTAACCACAATTTTTCTTGAGCAAGGAATTCACCGTACCGTATTTCGATGCAACCAGCTTACAACAATGGAGACAAGACATATGATGTTCAGGCTTGCCACTACAGAGCTAGGGAACTTACAGCTATATGCTGATTAATGTGTGCAACCTTAACGCTGTAAATGCGCCGTGATCCACCTGGCAGTTGACTGTCAACATCACCATGGAACTCTGCTGTATTCAAGGTGTAATAACTGAATGAATCATTTTCTGGAGCAATAGAGGGATGAACCAGTTATATTCGATTTTAAGCCTTAACTCACAATGTTACACAGCATTTTTGTTGAGAAACTTTCCTGATGTAACTACGAGTATATATGCTGCCAAAAATACAACTACATTGTTCCCGTCACGGAAATGTATGCTCGAGCTTGCATCTTGTGACAATGTTGTGCATCCATATACCACAGGTGCTCAAATGCCTTTGAGCCTTTATGTGGTTAAATCGCCACCTCCCCCTCCCTCCATAGGTCTATAGAAGCAGAGGGCGACGATATTGCCGTATAATGCCTTGCAATGATTCGAATTAATCTTTCAATACGGTTTGTCGTTTAGACCAGGGTTATTCATTTTATCAGTAGAGTGAGCGTCAGACTC